TTACATGTGATAAATTCAGTCTTACCAGTGTTCCCTTACAAATCAATATCCTGGTAATTTACATATTAAATTTTTTGATTTATGCATGTCCACATTGTATGACAATACGAGTTTGGAGTTTAGTTCAGATAAGATGATATAAACAACACTTACCAATAGCGTCACCATCCAGCCTAGTAGAACCAGTGAATATACGATCTACAGCTACCACAACACTCTGTGAACTTGTCTCTCCCATGGACTCCTGTATACTTGCCATACGCTTATGATCAAACTTATGATATGTAGCTAATAGGGAAAAAAAAAGTAAATAAATAAATTACATTACAATATGATTTTGTAGCCTATTAAAGTGGAGGGGTCGTCACCAGCGCTGATAACAACTATTGCTTAAAACACAAAGACTCATGGGTAGACGATTGTTTGTTAATGACACGCTATGGCTGTCTGCACAGGAGACAACTCCCCTGCTTTAAAGCGAGGGAGTCGTCACCTGTGCATGCGTCAGATGGCCATAGCGTGTCATTGTTTACAAACAAGCATCTACCCATGAGTCTTTGCGTTTTTAGCATGTGTTGTTATCGTCGATTGGGACTCAATTCCCACGCGTGCACAGGTGACGACTACCCTGCTTTAAGTATAATGCACCTTTTGTTATTAAAATTTTGTTTCCAAGATGGAAAACAGCTTTAATAACACAATCATACTCGCAATACTCTATTTCACCAATATTTAAACTAACAAGTGTTATATCCCAATGAAAACTGATTGATTTCTTAAGCTTTGACCATCAGTACCCAACCACAGTGATAAAACAGTGAATGAAATAGCCAGACTATTAAGTCTTTACCCGAGTTACAAACCTTACTTTCTAAGAAGAGTGATATCTACACCTGCCTATGACTCACCCACATCATCATGTCAATTAAAGCCTTTTTTAAAAATACTGTAATAGCATCCCTAATTACTCATAGTACCATGTTAAGGAGAGACATTTTCAGTTCATTGGCCGTATTCAAAAGGCAAGGCATAGAGTTAAACATGGGAAATTGGAAAGAGTCATTAGTTAATAGCCGAGATTCAATCACTAGTGACAAACCTTTTGGGGAGTGTAAGTTAGAAAGCACATGTGCTCAACTAGTTTGATGTCAGGATTGCATACTATGATAGAAAAAAGGACACATCGACCCATACTTACTAGTGTCACCCCCTTCCAATAGATCATTATGGTGCCCTCCTATTAGTGATGAAGATGGTATAACGGTAGTGGACCCTGTTGATATATATCTGGCTTTGACACCGGTTCCTATCAGCTGTGCCAATTCCAACTGAGAGATACATTTTAATATCTGTCAAGAGAGATTTATCAATGAATACATGTACCGTACTTGGTTTTTCTCAACAACACAAACATCATAAAATACAGTTGGACAAGTACATGTAAAGTAGGTGAATGCAGTGGAAAATATAGCTGGATTCTTTGTCTTTTGTCTGTAGCCATGGGAAATTTCAATTTTTATACAAAATTAACAACAAACTAAGAAAAATACTATTGACACAATAACTCATTCTACAAACCATTCTATGTGATTTTGACCCATTCTACGTGATTTCAACCCATTTTATGTGATTTCAACCAATTCCATGATTTGAACCAATTATTTGCGATTTGAACCCATTATGTGTGATTTTAGGCTATTATGTGTGATTTTAGGCCTTTCTATGCGAGTTCTACACCATCTCATGTGATTTCAATCTGATTCATGATTTTTTTATTCTTTGCTTTTACAATCGGGCTGGATTGAAAATGACAAATTTACTATGGGAAGGAAATCTGGGACATCACTGCTGGTAACCCAGAACACTAACAACAATGAAACTTACTGAATCATAAATTATGGTAAGTCTGAGAAAAATATTAATTACATTTCTCAACAAACAAAGTTCAGTGAAATCGAAATACTGGTAATAAAAATGTAACCATATAAAGTCTCCGGGACCTACCTCATGCCAGGATTTACCGAGGTAATTACCATCTGTATGTGCCACAGTAATCAGTGTTTTAATTGTGTCAATGTTCTTGGATTTCATCTCAGTGATACTGGCAGTAGCCGTCAGTAACGTGAATCTAGCCAAGGCTTGTACGTACGCATCACGTTCAATCTAAAACAAATCAACATAAAATGCATTTCACGTATACTAAAACAGGTTGTACATAAAGTTATTGTATTTTAGATGGCGATGATGGAACGCTACATCATAAATACAAAGTCTACATGAGGCTAGTTTATACAACCAGCATAATATGTGATGATATAAATTTGCTGTTGAATAAATATACACAGTGCTTAGGAAACTCTGAACCAGTGTGCCATCAAACCCGATATGACATGTACATGTAACTGTCGCATGTGACACAACAGGTTATGCCTTTTCTCTGGCTGACATGAAATTCCTACTTAGATACAGCACTCTGAAATCTGAAAAAACAATCTTACTATCGTTACAGAATTTGTAATTTGTTAATTCACATTTTATAAACAAAATAAAGTGTAAAATCAAAAGAAATCAAGCGGCAAAACAGTTTCATTTGTGCCTTCAGAACACCAGTGACCAGAACTAACAAATCAAGCCCCTACCTAATATCTTTAAATGATAGAGCATGAATGTGTCAACTTTAAAATTAATTTAAAAGTACATGTATTTCAGAATAGAAAACTATTCTAAAATGACATGCAATTCTAATAGCACAACAGGTACAGTCCAGACACAACCTAACCACTTCAGAATTCAAGAGAAAACTTACCTCCATTCTAAAAAGACATGCAATTCTAATAGCACATCGGATACCATCAAGACACAAACTAGCCACTTCAGTATCATCACAGTCTTGTAAACCGACGCTGAATGCCGCCAAGAAAGGTGTCCAAGCAATCTGAAAACAGAAATTATTGGTCAACATTAGTTACACCGTGTAATACCAGGTACTTCATCAATTTGTCAGACACAAAAACAGCCCAATTATGATATTTTTGAAACAAAAATTTTGGCAAAATTCAACTAAATTTTCTATTAGTTAACTGGATTTCATAAGGTTTATAAAGCTTTGTACACTAGTTTTAAATCAACGACAATATAATACTGGAATGGGTTTAGGATGGTATTTATGGTGTTCATCGAAGACAATCAGAGGGTGGGTGTTTATACAATAACTATTATACCTTAAACATAGGCCTGACATGTTCATGATGTGTTGCCATGGTGAAGTTAGATTGTACGTGACTAACACTCTCCATAAGTGCCTTGGCTGTAAGTGCTATATTCTCCATCTCCAAGTTATAGAGTAATTTCCTCTGTTTCTCACTTGCGACACCTGTATGACCGAATAGAATATTAGGAGGTTATCACAAGGATACCGAGATACCGGTAGATTTCTGTGTGGGGTCAGATCAAACTCTGGGGGCTGCTATGTTTGTTTTTATTATTAGAGGACGGTTATATGTGCATAATCATTCCATATTTGGAATTCACATTTCCTAATATAGTAGGATGCAAATACCCTGTGCAATACCGCAAAATTACGTCACACTGTAACTTACAGTGTTACGGTAACAGATGTATAATAATATATTATATCATATGTACTGTACACATACATGTACACGTAGACATACATTTTTTTCTACTCCATCACAACAGATTATCAGCTAGAAAACAAATTACTGTAAAATACTATATTTTAGCTTGAATTAATTTTTGCTAAAAAAAATTTATATTGGGTGTTTTCACTGATTTGAATGTAAAAATGGTATATTGACTGTATTTTATTTTCATTGAATCATCCCTTTAACAAAAATAAATTCCAAGTGAAAATGAAGTATTTTACAGTACTGGGTACATGCATTGTTCGGTACAGTAGAAAGTATGGTAGATGACTTAATTTTTACATGGAATTCATACTTCCTGAAGGGGTAAATCAATCAATTACAATCCAGTGAAAATACTGTAAATGCATTAATGATTCACTGGGTTCTAATTTCACAATTTTCGCTGATGAGTAAAATCCGCTAAATTAAATCTAAGTGAGCATGTAAAATGACAAATTGGTGATATTAAAGTGAGAGGGGCGTCACCTGCGCATGTATGAGAATCGAGTCCCAAGCGATAACAACACACGCTAAGAACGCTAAGGCCACCTGACGCATGCATAGGTGACGACACCCCGCTTTAAAACATAGTGAATACTCAAAACATCAAAACAGTGATATTAAATGTCAGTGAAAATAAATGGTTTTACAGTACTTTTCCCCATGGTCTGTCATTTACGTCAACACAAATTTATTCCAGATCAAAAAAAAGTAATCCACAGTATTACTTAGCGCCGTAGTCATCATGCTAAATGTAATGGAAACATGTAAATAAAT